ATGAGATGCTGTCAGCTTCTAAGTTTCCTTATTATACATATACAAGGTCAAAAGAAGGAGTATACTTATAATCTGTTATTTATATTCATTTATGTAAAATTGACAGAAGTCGTTGAAGTAAAAAAGTTACTGAATTAATTGATCTTGTAGCCTCGTAGTATTTTTAAACGGAAAATTTGAACTGCACGTCATTATTATTTAAAATGATTGTAAAATAATTTTATTACAGTAAATACTAAATACGTCAGGAAAGACAGCTATCGAATGTTTTGTTTGGTATCAAAGTCAGCGTATCAAAATCGCAGCAAATGTTATAATTTTTTTTATTTAGGTTTCATATTTTACTTGCACTTTGCTTCTTGTTCAGATGTAAAGTAGCGCGATCTTACGAGCCGTTATAAACGTTAGTCATTAAATTATCTATTTTGAAAGTCAGAATCATTCCTCTTGTTTTAAGGATCTCTATATAAATTAATTGCATGTATATACGTAGATACGTACATTCAAGTTATAATATGTATATGTTGAATTTAGTCAATTGTTATCTTACAAATTTTTACTGAGAAATGATACGAAAGTCGCTCACAGTTTCGAGGATAGTCTGACTTTTTTTAAAGTTCCGTATCTTATTTTTGAATCCTATATTTCAAATTTATATGTGGGAAAATTGCCTTGCACTGGGTATGGAAAAGGGTGAGGATGATGGATCAGCGTCGAAAATGTAAATAGTTCTGCTTCAATCAGAGGTTTTCCGGATACGTATATGGAGATTTGATGAGAATGTGAAAAATTTAAACAGGAAGGAATAAGATTAGCTTACTTGAAGAATTGAATATACAAGTTTTTTTCTAAGGGTCGTGGGAACGCGATGTCGTGAAGTAATCGGAGCAAAATTAAACAGTATGGCGATTGACAGGATGCAATCTTATAAACTTCTTCTGTCCCCACGCGTTGGAGTGTGTTTACTCTTTGAGTTCTTGGTACCGATTTTATCGACAAAGACTTGTTACAGTTCCACTCGTCGGTTCTTGCCCACGAAACTATTTATTTATCGTTCGATCAGGAATAATTGTTTACGATGATTGAGCGGATTAAGTAACTTGGAGCCTTTCACCACTGTTATATGAGCACTGTGTGTATTCGTATGCTGGCATGTGTTTCTTTTTTTTTTTTTGTGCGACTCATTGGTGCACGAGTATGAAGCAAAATTATGCGTTGTCAGTTGTTTCTGATATTTTATGATTGATGACGGTTTAAAGTTACGATACTACTTTAGTAAATAGAGTAAATGCCATGTGCGAATATTTAATCTGTTGAGAGGGTTAACTATCTGTAGATACACATACACACGTTTTCTCGTACTCCGTTCGCGAGTTAGATCGTTTATACGCATGTGAAAATTTAATTTTCTTTTTAGAACACTTTAGAAAAACTGGAAGAAGCAAGTGTTTGGAATCTTTTGATAAAAGTAAAAATCCTTTCGAAGAATTTTACTTGTCAACGATCTAGTTTGTTTATGGATTAAAATTGTGATAACGTGTGATGTGTGAAAATATGAATAAAAATAATAATTGTTAAAATAGTAGTACCTACACCGATAGATTTCCTACGCATGTTCAATGCTCCAATTCATGTTGGATTTTCGAGAATTTTATGATCGTAGATTTCTTTGCCATAAACTTAAATTTCTTTCTTAATAAACGATAATTATGTTGTTATATGTAATTTTATTAATTTAAGATGAGAATATAATGATAAAATTCGTAAGAAGAATTAAGAGGTGATAACATTTCAAAATTGATCTATCCATTTTTTTATGTTTTCTATAATTTTCATCTTTCAGTCGTTAACCCTCCATGGACTAAGGAAATAATAAAAAAGAAGAGTAAAGAGTGACATTCACTGCGGACGCACATCAAATTTGGAGTCGATCAATTTTGCAGATCTTATTACCAATGGAGATTAAACAAACCTGCACTTTCAGCCAGTAATTGTCGTGTCCTTTGAACACTTACTGTTTTAACGATCCAGGAAAATTGGTGACGAACAAAAGACAGTTAATTCGCGTAGTAAATTGAAATCAGTATGAATGATAGTAACATCGAATTCAGTACACGATTATAGTAATTTCTCAAAAAGAACGGTTCGGTTTACCGAAGTTAACCAGACATACCGACACACAGTTACATATTTATCTTCACTTGTTTGCACGTCAAAATACAATTAATCTCGCTGGATTTCAGTATCGAAGACTGTCGTTGATTATCGCTATACTTTAAACTACGAAATATGCATTATTTGCCCTACTATATTAGGTATTATTGAACAGCATGCTTTCTCAGACGGCTTTTACTTTCTCTTATATTATCGATTTACATATCATGGATCAATCGATGGAATGCTTTCGCCTTATTTGCATACGCCTCGCTTATACGTGTTATACGATCGTAAGTAATTTAAATATAAACCGTCTTGTGATAGCAAACAATCAAGTATTAAATCTGATATTCTCTTTAGCTGTTTCATGTACACGTCGTCGTGTACGTCTCGATGCCACACCATTATTTTGCAATATTACATTGCGACAGGGAAAGCCTTTTGCATTTACAAAATGTAAATACAGAGTTTCTGACGTTCATTGCCAAACTCGACTCGTCAAACGGTAATTGTGCTTTTTAACTATTTTCGATGAACTCGTTCGAGCAAATAGCTAGAAAGGGGAGAGGGAGTTTCCCCGATGATTTCTCGAAGAGGGACAAGAATGACTGAAACGCGGGACGCATCATCGACTCGCCAGAGAACAAGAAGCACCGACGTGAAAACTAACGACCATAGTCGGAGTTCCTCTCCGGTCAGAGGGCAACCCCTCTACTTGTTTCTCACTCTTTTTCCCCTCTTTCTCTCGGTGTCTCTTCTCTTGCAGAATTTCATTCTCTCTCGCTCGCCCGCGTTTGCGTTCGCGTTCTCCACTCGTGTCTCGCTCTCTAACGAAGGCAGCATACCTCTTCCAAAGAGAGTGAGCACGCATACGCCGCGGGTACGAAGCTGCAGCACCTGGTTGGCCGGGTTCACCTGTGCACAGAAAAGGAGGGAACCAACGCCTGGCGTCCGGGTGGCGCGACACCTGTGGTCCGCGTCGTGGTGTCTATCCGATAGAACGCCGGGGGATGGCAATACGGGAGAGGGAGACTCGGGTTTGCTTGGAAAAAGCGACAGACAGTGTAGTAGAAGGGGAGACAGCAACGGAACGAGGCAAAAGAGAGTGTACAGCGCAGAGCTATAGCGGCAGGAGGGGAGAACCATTTCCGCCTTTTAAAAACGATCCAGAAGGCCTCTTATATAGGCGGAGCTGTGGCGTGCGGACGCGCTACTATTGGCTGCCTTAATATCTAATATATCATGTCATAACGGCTGGAGAATTATTGTCCTTGTACATGTTCGCCAACGTTATACACCACGGTTCCATTCCTCTTGCAGGAACTAACCGCCCCTCTACCGAATCGCTATTTTCCCACCCCTTGCGCGCAACGCTGTTATACACTGTAACATCAACGGGAGAAACGAGGCCGTTGTTCGTTGTTTAAAATCGATATTTACTTACTTCGACACGCGTCTTCTTGCCAGTTACGTACGCGCACGCTCGGCTCGCGCTTTTCGGCGGCTTCCGGCCGGCGTGAACCGAAGACCACGTGAGATGACATAGATATGCATTCGTGTGCATGTATGTATATTATATGTACTGTGAATAATGACTCGATCAGTGATGGAGAAATATGTATATCATGAAAATAAAATCATGTCAGTTCGCAGATTCTATCGAATCTGATCAAGCATAGCTAATAATTAAATTATATGTATCACGCATACACGTGCATTTTATTGAAATGTTTCAAAATATGAAAAACATCATAGACACTTTACATTCGTACCGTACCGGTTTGTCTACATTTCAAGCAGAATTATCTGTGGACTTATTTCAGTATTATCTTATTAACTTGTTGATATTTGCTCCGAAAAACATAGAAGGTCGTAAGATCTTGCATAAAGAATATGTGTGTTCTTTTCTGAAAAATCTAACAAGTTATTAATCCGATAATAAATAAATGGCGAGCGTTGTCAAACGTGCAACGATGCATTTACATCGATACGTTTATTGCTAATCCGAAATTCGTATAAATAGCAAAATAAATTTATACGTGTGCATTAAAAATTAATCACGCGTGTCGCAGATTGTGCAAGAATGTTTATGCTACAGTTTGCGTTTGGAATCCTTCCAAAACAAGGATTACGTATTCTTAACCTTCGTATTTCATATCTTTATTACGTGTCATTATTTTTCTTTCCTTTTTTTAAATTTCTTCTCGCACCTACAGGAATTCACATTAAGCTAATTCTTTGTTGACTCTTATCGATTGACGAATGGATTAAATAAAATGTATTTACGATAATGTACTAAGATATCGTTGCGTTGCTTGGTATTGCTGGTGGTTATAGCTGAAAGAATTTCAAATTTGCTTTTATTGAATGATAGATCTATTTATAATTTCATTAGTTTTGCATCAGAGGTCAAAATTGTGATGCACTTACGCCGCTATTACCTTGGCCTTATTTTTACGATACTGGCTCATTTTCAGTTGTTTTGTGACGCTATAAGTGGAAGATCGTATTGCTTTCGCAAACACGCAGTGACATATCTCGCGTGAAGTCAGCCTTCTAACGTCGTTAAATTTCTTTGTAAATTTTAAAGAGCCTCACCTTTGCAGCTTGAAATTTTTAACTCGTGCCATCACCTATCACTGCCAAGTAGCGATACAATGTTTATTATTATGAATATGGTCGTATATAATATGTTCGTAATATATTACAGGTATACGACATAATTTTGTACAATACAATATTTTTACATAATACAATATTTCTTAATCTTTTCTATGTTCAAACTTATAGAATAAAAAATTGAATTCGTTTTAACAATGTATGATGTTTGCATTGTGTCGCAGGTGAAAGCGTGGAAATCCTGCTGGAACATAGTACCAAGCTCGTAGAACTCTTCCAATATCCTTGGGAAGCGATATTGTTGATGTACATCAATTTAAAATATGCAGGAGCTAATCCCGAGGAAGTCGTGAGGCGCATGGTCGATGGTAAAGTATACTTTGTTCTGAACTTGCCTTCGTGTTCCTGTTATAGACGCGTTAAAATCATGGCATTTTCAATAAATCATACAAGTATATTATCGAATGTACAGAAAAGAATTTACTATTATAATACAACTTTATCTTTATTTAACACTCAACGATGGAAAGTAACGATTTCATCTTCTTCTCTCTAGCTTCCATAGTCTTCTATCCGAAAATCTACAAATTCTTTTTGCTTATCGTAAATTTATGGCCTACTTGAACGCGTTATGGCAGCAGAAACATTTCACAGGCTTTTTTTTGTATGGTTATTTGAATTTCGTAAAGTTTTCTTAAAAGCGATATCGATAGAAGATTCTTTTCCCAAGTTCGCCGCGTGGAAACAAACCTTCTGCCTTCTTGAAGTTTTCATTGGAGAAGCGACAAAGATAAATTTAACTGTGATTCAACGATTGGAAGACAGTTTTCTTTTCTCGCACGTGGAAGTTGCAGGATGATGAAATTGGCAACATTTAAAGCGTTGAACTTCCTTCGCTATCGCGGTGCTACATCGTGATATCATCGTTCAGAATTGATTTCATCGTTACATTGATTTCCAAATTTTTTGTTATTATTGTACAAAATTATGGCATGCTGAGTTCCCCGAAAAATAATTCAGAATCGGGGACACGAACCTTTCAAATTGTTACGATAAAGAAACATTTCCGGACAGGATAGGGTGAATAATCCGATTTAGCATCGCATAACGTATTTACGCTGCCAATCTCTTGCTGCTAATTTCGTTACGTTCGCGGTTCTCCACTTGTCACTAAGAAAATTTTCCACGTACGCGTCTCGCTGGTTGGGTTACGAAATCATCGTTTTCGAAGATCCTTTATGGCCAAAAACGGTCCTTCGATGATTTCTATATTTGGTTCAACACCCCAAGATTCGTTATGATTTGGTCTACATAGGAAGATTTGGTTTAATATCACCAAGAAGATGTATGTCGAAATATGTACACTATACACATCCGCGAATAAGCCACATAAGATAATTTGAAATGGAATTCGAAGAATTTAGAGGTATGTATGACATTCGTAGAAATGAGTAGATCGAAGATGTTTAATAATTAATTCATATCCAAATCAATTTAAAATGTATTATTTCTGATTGAATAGCATCAATTTCTGATCGAGGTTACATTTGCAATTTTTATATATATACACATGTATTTGATGTCATTTTAATCAGAAAACTTTCGCAAATACGTTAGGAAAAATATAATTTAAAAAATATCAGAAATAAAAAAGTTACATTATTGTCTCATGGAATATTACCGTTTTTTATGGGCGATTGAATTTGGTTTAGATATTACCTTTCAAAAAACATCTCTTCTGGAATCACCTTATGACTGCAACATGTAAATTATGTTATAATTATAGGCAGAATACAGTTTAAAAGGCATATGTTATTACAAATACTTGATCTACTTTTACGAGTACGTGCATACAACGTGTTATTAAATTTCCAGATCATTTTTAAGATTATCTGCTATACGAGAGGTTAAAATTTTCGGTGTCATTACTTCGCAATTGATATTTTCTGTGTTCGTCGGTATTTTATGAATCATCGTATAAATCAGTGTGTCATTGAAATACAATATTTTACACGCGAAGATTTGAGCTTGAGAAATTCCCGACTCAGTCAAATGGAATTTCCGACGATTATCAAGGTAGGATTTTATATATTATTTTGTAATTTGTACCTATGATTGATTAAGTAATATAATTATAAGAGCTGTCGATGACGTATTATACAATATGAAAGGGAGGCGTAAATTAATCTCGTTACCACAGCTTTGAATTTAAATATTTTACGTGAAAATAATTTTTAATTGCTGAAACAAAGCTCAAAATACTTGACGTAAAAAAGAAATAGCTACGTACTGGCTGTAGCTAGTAATAAAATGTTCGATCTTTAATATTTCGAAAAATCTTATACAAGAGCGTCTTTTGAAATCAAAATATTTTTCATCATATTACGAATAATATATATTAGCTTCACATTCTGTAACTTATAATTTAATTTATTCTGATTCACTAATTGGGATAGATATATCTACGTATAATTAAGCTAACGATATAGATGAAATATATACATACATTATAATACGTAATAATTTACAAACATCCTTCCATCAAAAGAATATTTCTCCAAAAGTGTCTCGTGATATATTTGCTGAATGAGTTACTCTGACAAGGGGTTGCTAATTAAATATATCCAAAAATCAAATCGCTTCTATTAAGATACGTGTTAATTCAATTCGCAAGGAAACTTGGACACATTAGCCGGATGGCTGAGTATTTTCCAGATAACACGGGGTAGAATACCATGAAATGCGACATAATAATCGGTCGGGTGCGTTCACCCTCTATCTTCCTCTGTCTGACAAAAGTAAAAAATTATAAAGATGGGGCGATCAAGCAGGCGTGAAAAAGGTTGAGGCATAATTTATTAAGTAGTTTACTTACTTGACTACTGTTTGCTCGAGCCAATCATTATAAATCGCTTAAGCGTGCGGTCTGTAGCTCGTAAGTCATAATATTGCCATCAGAAACCTGTGCTGGCCTGGGGCACGTATCATCGTTGATCATCGTGCCTCTGTCTTGTACACAAGCTCCTCCAAATAAGCTGCAAATAGACTGGCCAAATTGCCACTTCATTGTTTATTAAGGTGTCTTGATGAGTGACGTGAGATGGCTTCGTTACCCTGATGAGCTTTTTTGTTCGGCTCAACGAATTAGGTTCACGCTGCACATTTAGTGTGATAAATTACCACTCAAAAAGCATGTTGTAAACTCAAGTAGAAATTGGGAATGATTAATTTTAATTCTGTAATTTTAATCCAATTTTCATTTGGATTTTTCATAAGACTTTGTCTGCTGCGGTTGGAACGTGGAACCACAGCAACATTTTAAGACATGGAAGGTGATTTTTTAAAATGGTATTTATAGCTGCTTCTATCGCTTACATAGGCTCTTAGAGACACGAACGAACGAAGAAATTACATAAAATTGCAAATTACGTAATTTAGGGTATTTTCACCCATTAAGAGCCAAAGATGTGCGAACGCGACGTTATCTGTGTAATTTCTTTTCAATTAGTGTACGTAATTGAATTCTATCGAATTCACATTGCAATTATGAAAAGGAATTTCTAGAATTTCTCCAACATTGTCTTGATTTTAGATCCTATAATACATACACATTATGAAATTTGAAGAAATAAAACTTCTTTATATAAATATGATAAAAAATTACTCTTTTCGCATTATAGAAATCGTTTTTCTCGCTTTGCTTTGTGTAATGGACTATTCTTCTAATTCTTTTAACAGGCTATTATTCCAATATATTTATTTTTTGCGTTTTGACAAAACATTAACGTATCCTACTTTATTCGCCCTTAGCCATATTGTTGCGCTCGTACAACATTTGTACATTGTTTCACTGGTTGATGTTTAATGGATTCAGTAACTTAACAGCTCTCGTGCTGATTTATTTTCTAAATTCTTTAAATTTTTTATGGTAGCTTTTATATCGATCCGTTGTCTCGTTCGTTGGATATTTCTTTATCAAACGCGCTTGTCTTTTTCTTCTTCTATACCTTTGCTATTTTCTTTGTTTTTTTAAAGGATGCGCATTCTTAATTTTTCTATGTACAATATTCCGTATATAAGTACAGATCCAGAAGACTTTCGTGAATGACTTGTGTAACATAGGTAATAGGAAGATATATAGTAAAACAAGACAATATTAAGACTTTGACAGTGGATGAAAATTTTTAATGGTTGGAGAAAAGACAGGAACAATTTTTCCAAGATTGCAAGCGAAAATTTATTACTCGTTGTCGAAGCAAACGTTCGCGATCATTCTATTCGTAATATTTCAAATATTTCTATAATTCTATCTCTGTACACGATTTACTATTTAAAGATGACAATCTTTAATAATTAAGACGGTGAACCGTATCAAGCGTCTCTGAGACTCAATACGTAGCAACGACTAATAGCTTACTTTCAATTATCGGAATCGATATGCTCGAGGAAAGACTATCTAAGCTATCAATTACATTCAATAATGAAACAAGTCGTACTCGAATGATTTAAAGCAGACATAATATGGGACTGATAAATAGCCGGTAAGAATCTCACCAGTTTACCACTATGTTACTATCATATACTCGAGTGCCATTAATTATTTCATTTGAAGCGTGTTGTAGATTTCACGTATTTGTCCCCCGTTACACTACAGAACCGGTAAAAAGGAAAAGTTACAAATAAAAATTGCATGCAACGCGTTCAGCTTATCGGTAAGAAAAATAGACTGCGCCTTATGGTAGCTGGAAATAGATTGTACGCGTAGTACGCTATTAGCTCGAATTGCGGTACGAGGGAACAGCAATTGTGGTGAAGACGTCGTGTTTCATGCATGCCAACACCGTTCCAAGCTAGATATATATATGTACGTTCGCGCGGAACTGAAAGTCGAGTTGGATACTTTTAAGTCTACGTAGAAAGTCGCATTCCTGCCAGTTTGTTGGAAAACAGGTAGACGATTTACAGTTATAAGTTGCTGCAAGTGGTTAAACTGTTGCTAAATATGCTGTTCGATTCACTCTCGAAACGTTTCGTTGTTTTCAATTCTGTGGGTTCGTTCATTCGCACCGAAATTAGTTTGTCGACCGCAATTAGATACGCGATTGTGCTGTTGAGTCAAAGATTGCTTTATAGTTTAGTCGCTTAAACGCGTTAAAGAGATGATCAGACAAAGACACTTACGATTAGCAATTAGCAGAGATTTTCACATCTGTGTATCACTTTATGTGTAATAGCGTTGGATTATATCAAGTGATTTTATAAATAATTTCGTGTTTACGTATAGTAAATATCTTTGCACGACCTAATCGCATACAACAATACACTCTTCGTATCGAAAGAATCGACGAAGCTGTCTCCATTTTACGTA